TGTGTTTGATAAATAGTTATTCCATTGATTTTTGTATTTTGAATCAGTGATCAAATAATTGATGTTAGACACAGAAAAATGTTATTTTAAGACTGTTTTTTCAAGGACACATAATCTAAAGTCACACAAAGTCAAAAATCTAACAAGTCCACATTTCATTTTGATTTCAGCTTCATCTTGACTAAAGCGATCTGAGTTATTCAATGGTCGACATTTAAAACCATCACAGGAACATTAAAACCCATTTATCTCAATCTAACAAAACGAACACTTGACCTTGAATAATTCAGAATTGATGAACCCAAGAGAGAATAGAGCACTGTGTTTAGGCTTTACTTTGTTTCAGAAAACATTGAAATGTTCAGTGAATTTTTGCTATAAAATGTGTTTTTGGGAAGTAAAAAAAAATACTATTAAATCGGTCTTATTTTTTTTACTCCAAGCTTTAATTCTGTTAAAATAACTTGGAAAAAAGGGTCAGGAATATGAGACAAACTCATCTTTTACAAGCTACTCTCTTCTGCTAACACACACACACACACACACACACACACACACACACACACACACACACACACACACACACCAGTTGGAACTCTGATTTTGTTCAGGTGGAGATGCACTAAATAAGTCAGAAGCAATCATCTTTCATTTAGCACAACACTCCCTCGAGTGTGAACAGTTAACCTGATGTAAAAGTGGATTTGAGAGCAAGCTGAATGCTTCTAATATTTTTTATACAACAATGAATGAATACTTGACTGTATTAGCGTTTATTTATTTTTATTTTTGTACATTTTAGTAAGTATCTACTACCTAAGGTAGTTAGAAGAATCAAAATCAACATCTGTTCTGAACATGAGCCCTGACTTTCCTGTTCTCCTCAAGGCTTTTCTATGAGTATCTGATCATCTTATTGTTTCCAAAATACTTGCTGACATGTAAATCAGACAATAGAATATTCTGGTAATAAAAATAAGTTTAACAAGGTAGACTTAGGGTTTACAGCTCAAAGGCATGAATGATTGCATCCTGTAAGTATCTGCTTAAACACTTGCAGGTGGAATCATGTGGATGCTCAGTTTTGTGGGAAAGGCACAGCGAGGATTTGTCAGAAGGCTGATGCAGCGAGGTCCAACTACTCCCAGATCAGGGGAGGGATAAAGGGGGGAGCTGCAGCAAAGCCTCTGTAGGGAGGCAACACCTGTACTTAACCCATAGAAAGAACTTTGGATATAAATGATCTTATGCAAATGGAGTCAGATTAGTTTAGACTAATATACTGAAACACATTTCCTGCTAGAAGTCTTCATGATTTAGAGAACTCACTTAAGCCTTTCTCTAACACTCATATCACCTTGTAGAATCTGGATATAAAATCTACAATAGCCAGCTTGATGATCACCCATCTGTCTGGGTCTGGGCTGCATGTCTCTGTCTGCACACAACCATAGAACACACACACACACACACACACACACACACACACACACACACACACACACACACACACACACACACACACACACACTCAGAGAGCTTGGGAGCCTTCCTCTTCCTGTTTATACCATCATCTATTATTTAAGCCATCCGCCAGTGTTACATATGTGTTACTCTGGTGCAAACACACACTTATAAGCAGGCTCATACACATCATTTCACCAGCGCATTTCAGAAGGTAAAAGGAGGTTGTTATTAATTCATTGGGTTTTTTTTCTTTCTTTTTGTGGTTATGAGCTGATTTCATGGCTCTTATATTTTCTTTGTAGTATATCTCGGCGAAATTTAACAAATCCCAGTAGATGCTCACCACATGTTGCAGAGTAAAATCAAGCATGTTCTACTAACACTTGCTGCACGTAATATGACATCTCTCTCTGTTCTCTGTTTCTTTAAAATCCCATTTCTGCTGCTCTGGTTCAGATTCATTTCTCTTTTCTCTATTAGGTTGTCTTGTGCTATGGTAGTTAATCTGAATTATGTGTGCAGATGGAATGTGTCAAAGATGGCACTAATAGTAAAGCCATCTGTGGGTGATGTGTGTTCAGATATGAGGCCTCATTTTTCAAGCTTTTGCAACAACACATACTCTTACTTTTGCTCATAATTATGCACATAGTTTCTCACAGTTGTGGAGCTGTTGCAGGACTTGGTAAATGTTGTAAATAAAAGGTGGAATAGTTTAATGATGTTTTCATGAGTACTTGTTCAAAGTGCATGTTGGGAATGATCATGGATGTTTTTCCTGTCTTTGTGTTGGAAGGTCCTTCACTTGTCCTTGTGAAAAAAGGAAATTATGCTGCAACTTTCCCTCCTTCTATTTGTTGGATTTGGGTTCAGACCATTCACACTTTTCATTTTAACAATTTAAATGGCAATGAAGCTGCTTAGTTGGGCATGATTCAGTGTAAATTAAAGAATGCATTATCCCAGTGACACATGCACTGAATGTAACAGCAATAAATACATAAATAAAAATGAATAAAAAATATGAACATACGCTTGAATAAAACAGCTGCTATAAAAAGTTTTGGAAAATGAATTAGCTTAAACCTTTTTTCATGCCTCTTACTAACGTTCTAACATAGCATATAGTATATATAGTACATATGTATGTCTATCTATCTATCTATCTATCTATCTATCTATCTATCTATCTATCTATCTATCTATCTATATTTATATATATATATATATATATATATATATATATATATATATATATATATATATATATATATATATATATATATATATAATGGTGTGAGAGGTTCTCCGCTCAATAATATCAGAGAAGGAGAAACAGCCGGTTTGATTTCAGCAGGGCAGAGTCCCAAAAAGAAAAACACCAGTTGAAGTCACAACAACAGAAGACGTTTGGACCTAGAAAACAACGACTGGTGTTTAGCATTATCTTGTTTCATCTGACATTGAGTGTTTCTGGTTCCAGCAGAAGTGTCACAGGGAAGATACCCGAGGGGAGGGGTGAGTGTTCCATGACCGTGTTTGTGTTCCAAACCTAGCTTGTTTGCAGATTTGTCATAAAAGCTCTAAGCAATGATACCTCACATCATTATTATTATATTCATATTTTGCATTATAAATTTACCTTGTCACAGGTTTTATGGCCCCCATAAGAAAAAAATTAAAAAAATTTAAATGATCAATTGTTTATATTTGTTGATGTAGACGTTGGTTCAAAGCAGCTGCCTGCCCACTAAGGCCCAACATTCATCCTATTTATTATGTGTTGTTTTGTTCTTATATTCTCTGCTATTAATATCTATTCCTTTTTCATGCTCAAATGTTATTATTCTTTTATGTTTTGTTGTTGTTGTCGTATTACCGCCGACTCATCTTGGCCAGGTCATGTTTGGGAATGAAAATGTGTTCTAAAACATTTTACCTGCTAAAATAAAGATTAAAAATATGTCCAGTCAAGTGTAACTGTATAAGAATCTCATATCTATGAAAGATGGCAGCTTTTCAGAGACCTGCTTCAGCACCGAGGACAGCCAGAATATGCAGTGGAAGTACACTTTAGCATAAAAAATACTGTAAGAACCAAGGTGTCCGAACATTATGCACCTGTGTCGGTGTGCAACTGTAAGTAGGTGCGGGTCTGGATACCTACATTCACCCAGACATTTCAGTGCCTCTCTGTCTTTGATCTTTTCTCTTCTCTCAGTCTCTTATCAGTGTCCTGACCCTCCAGGCTATTGGAGTCACTCCACACTCTTACTGGGAAATGAAGTGTTTCACTGAAAACTGACTTTTTCTGTAAGAAACCTCTAAGGTGGAGCCTCCCAACCAAATTCACAAGTGGAGTTCCTTTCCTGAAAGTCACAAAAAAGACATTTTCTCCTGGTGTGTATGCAATTATATTTAATAGTAAACATCTTATTTTAATCTATTCAGGTTTGCACGTTAGTTTCTTCTCTTTATTCATTATTAAAAGATGATTCAGAGAAGAAAATTAGAAAATAACTACTGCATAGATTAATTCATTCTAATGTTGGGTTTTCCTCTTTATGTATCTTTTTTCTTGAATTGATGCTTTTAAATATTTTTTTTAAAAACAAATCCATCCCGTGTAGTAAACATGCATGTTTTTAAATCTAGAAAGCAACAGGCAGGAGTGTCCATATGTCTCCACAAAGTTGTTTTTGTTGCGGTTCTACCACCTAAATAGGGCACTCATTTTCGTTTTTGTTTTTTGGAGGCATGAACAGCAGATTTTTCTGCTTTTCAATTACCTTTCCGCTGAAAACAAACATCAAAAATCTGCCCCCCCCCCCCCAAAAAAATAGGGTTCACACCACCTCATTTTTAGAAAAAACTCCATCCACATGTAACTGCATAAGTGCACTGTTAACACTGACCAAGTGGACTTCCCTTTTATTTGATGACGTAATAAATTCAACAGCGACAGAAAAGCGGAAATGGCTTCGCCATTCCTCCAGGAGGACAATTTCCTGCTCAAGGTTTTCCCACCGGCTGGCAGTGCATCCCGGTCTGACCCAAAACCTGTGTTGGTGTCTTTGTCGACAAACCTTCTTTGGATGTGGAAAAGGAAGACGGCGTGCAATAAAAATCCGTAACCTCGTCATTCATCTGTGTTCTTTGACAAGTAGCAGTAATTCTGCTTGTAAAAGCAAAGAGACAAAAGCGCTTGGAGGATTGATAACATGAGCAGAGCTCTGAGGGCATCCGTGCTGTAGTGTAAACATAGGTCGCACATGGGCCGTCAGCACTTTAGTCGCAGACAGTGATGTTGGGAAACTTAAAACTCCGGTTATTTCTGTACACACAGAACGGTTTAAAACAGAGAAAACGCAAATCTTAATGACGATTTTGAAATGATGTGTTTTTGTTGAGTAAATCTGTGTTTTCATGTGGCTGACAAGCTGAATCGTAGAAAAATATCGTTTTGGAAGATACCTGGCTTCGCGTAGAGTGTGCATGCATGTGACACATCAGTCACATCTTACCTGTCTTACCTGCGTTGGCTACGGTGTTCTCTTGTTTGCATTTTCCTATGGTTATGGACACATCGTCGATGGCTATGTCGCCTTCAAAACCTTGACCTCGAATTCCCTCAAACACAATCTGTTCAAGAAGGAGATAAAAAAAGTCACGCGTGTTGTGCAAATGTGTGCAGAACAGTTTTCAAAATTAAATTTTAATTTCACACTGAAACAGGTAGTGAAATTTCTTCTTCTTAATATTATAATTATTAGGATTTTTTAAATGTATTTAATTGACAATGGAACTTTAAACTCTTCAAGTAGTTCTTCTGGTTGTGGAGTTTAAAATGCTGTTTATTTTCTACCTTTAGCTATGACAATTAGTCATAGTTACTTCATTACTAAAGAAAAAATAAATACATATGTATGAATAAGTGGTATTACTTTTGGTTTTACGCATACAGAGGGCTGATTCTGTTATAACTACTCACACAGAAATGTAGACACCGTATAAACACTGTCCACATGTATTATCTAATACTTGTACTTGTATACTATAATCATTTGTGGCCCCACAACAGCAAAACTAAACAGGAGTCTCATCTGAAAACTTCTCATTTTAGCCACCAGCCATCTGGATTTGACTGACAGCCTAATTACTGTGGCGTACCAAGGCACCAAAAGCCCATTGCACCCAGCTAATCAAAAAAACAAGCACATTCTTTCTGGCATCTGAGCAGGGAAACCGCAAACAAACAAGGAAACTTTGTGGCTCCAAACACAAAAACACCAACTTCTGCAAAGAAATAACAATAATAAACATATATACATATACATATATATATATACATATACATATATATATATATATATATATATATATATATATATATATATATATATATATATATATATACATATATACATATATATACATATATATATATATATATACATATATATATATATACATATATATATATACATATATATATATATATACATATATATATATATATATATATATATATATATATATATATATATATATATATACATATATATATATATATATATATATATATATATATATATATATATATATATATATATATACTAGTCACCACATTATTTAATGTAAATTCTGAACTTTACTTGTAATTAAAAATCATATTTTAGTTTATTTGCACCTCTGTGGGTTTTTTTTCCTACATTATCTGACCTATTTAATCTGATTACTGGTTTCCAGAAAAAGTCTGTTACATGAATATAGTGGTGCATGAATGGCCTATCGCATTTCCAGCTCCACCTGCGAACTAAACTTAGAGCAAGCCACCGTCCCCTCAAGTCACTTCAAAGGAAGGTCTCCAGCAGATTTAACAAGGAAAACAGGTGAAACTATAAATGTGTTTCTGAAGTGGCTCTGCATGTATATCTGTTCTTCTGTCTGTCTGCCTGCCTGTCTGAGCAGATGCAACCACGCAACCAACTAGCTTCAGTTAAAAGAAACAAGGCTCCATCTGTTAACCCTCTCCTGCTGTAGTCAAGGGCCTGGCCTGCCCACCCATTTGTGTGTAAATATATCAGTTCAACAGTGGCTTCAGTTAACCTGCTTTTTGACCCACCAAGTAGAAAAGCCTGACCCGACTCCGTGTAAGCTCAGATCTTGTAAAAAGTGGAGAATAGCTTATCAAACGGCACCGTGCCCGTGTCGGAGGGTCGAGGCATTCCATTACCCATGTTTTAATCTGAGAGCGATGTTGTGTTTGCGCCTAACAGCAGTGTCAAGTTGAGGTATCAAACAGAAATTCATGGGGCAGATACAAATAGCAAACCGAAAACACAACCGCCTGCATGTGACATCATTTCCTTCACCTCTGAAGGGAAAGAAGCAGCTCCGTGAACAGGTTCCTCGTGGAGTTTGATGACTTTCTGATTGAGAATAAGTCTAAAATGTTACAAAACATTTCTGCTCACTGATTTCCTCATGCAGCGCATGGGAGGGAATGATATGACTTCACACTTTGCCCAAGTCTTTGAATGTGTTCCTAAAACCGAGCACTCACGTGAACCTTTAACATTTTCTCTCGGTTTTCTTCCTCTATAAGTAGAGCCCAATCAATTACATTAATAAAAGGGAAGGAAACGGCAAAGCAGTGCCACTTCTCTTCCATTTGCTTTAATTTGGTTCTAGAATGAGAAACCTTCTTTGAATAAAAAAATAAAATACAAAAAGGGAGAACCTTGAAGCTAATTGGGTAGCGCTGTGGGGGAGAGAAAGAACAGCAGGGCAGCATGGTTTTAACCAGTTGGCTCAGTTGTGCAAAAGGCTTTGATTGTTAGACAGGTTGGTGAGTTTGAAGAAAACTCAGTGGTAAGAGGAGGATGAGGTTCATCGGCCAAAGAGCTATATGCCCTTCTATTTTTACACATTACAAGGTCGTCTTCTTTCCAGCAATGCTGTAGGAAAAATTCTGATGTACTTATGCATTTTCTTTGTGATTATTTTCATAAACACATTTATGCCAGCTGGGTTTCTGCATGCACACAAACATAGCACTAATGGCTGCTAAGTAGAGCTGTGGATGCATACCTGTGTACACCTTCAAGTGTGTCTGCTAAAAACTAGACACCAGATTGTTGTTTAATCTGAGAAAATGAGAAAGATGATTGAGTGGAGGAAGCCCAGAGGCTGGCGATGGCCTTGGCACTCAGTACAACACAGCCACATCACACAGAACATGAAGGGGAACCTGGGCCATATCAATATGGTCCATTCATGCATCCAAAACACAACTTGAAATAAATAAATGAAAACTTGAATTGTACACAATAATTGTGAAAATATTAAACAATACCTGTATGTTTTTTAGAAGTAGAAAAGTCTGCTTTTCTTTGGCTAGTTTAAAAGGTCAAAGGCTCCCCTGATTTTCTTTGTAACCGCTGTGAGGCTGACGAGAAAATAGAACAATAGCCAACAGCTTCCCTTGTTAATAGAACATTCACAGCAGCAGATGCAGAACCAGAGCAAAGTCATCCAGATAGACCCCACCCATCCAACCTATTCACCCTTTTCCCTGCAGGCAGAAGGCTGGAAGGCCTCAAAACCTTGGACAACCAGCTAGTTCAGGGGTGGGCAATCCTAGTCCTCGAGGGCTGCTATAAAGCCTGTTTTAGTTGTTTCTCTGCTTAAAAACAACTGGTTTGTATCTGCTGGTGATAAACAGGTGATTCATCAAGGAATCAGGTGTGTTGGAGCAGGAAAACAACTAAAACATGCTGTATGGCGGCCCTCGAGGATCAGGATAAACCACCTCTGAGCTAGAGGAACCCAAGACTCTTAAACTTTAGGTTGTTTATTAGGACTAGTTTGAGTTTTGTTCTCCCAACAAGTTATTGATCAATATAAAAACAAAAACGAAAAAACCAAATCATTTTATTATAGCCCACTCGTTAAAAACAAACAAACAAACAAATAAATAAATAAATAAGGCTCACCACTGATTTTGTGTGTTTGTATTTCTGTATTAAGACCCAGGGACATTAGCCCATGGCCCTTAAATAAAGTTTTACTATTAAAATGCCAACTTGCTTTGTGAGACACATTTGACTTAAACAGCAAGAGAAGCTGCCACGCTGGTGTCAAGCATATCTGTTTCCTAACCTTCAAAGTAGCGAGGTCGCTGTGTGGCCACGGGGACAATTCTTCTGACAAACACGACACTGAAAGTAGTGAGATAGAATCCTTTACATAATCCTTTAGAATCCTTTATTTCCAGCACATGCACAACACGTGTGCACAGTAGATGTGAGAAACAGAAAGATAGCTTTGAAATGCTTCGTGGTTGTATTGTTTGAATATTGTTGGTGTTTGGAGATGTGAGGATTGTGAGATTGAATCTTTTGAAATGTTATAAAATAAAAAAAATTCTAATAAAAATTTTGGCTATAGTGACAAAGCTTCACAGTGATGGACAACTTGTGTGTGTGTGTGTGTGTGTGTGTGTGTGTGTGTGTGTGTGTGTGTGTGTGTGTGTGTGTGTGTGTGTGTGTGTGTGTGTGTGTGTGTGAAGCTTCAGGATCAAAAAGTGTTCCAGTCAATGTGCCAGGTTGGAGTTGTGAGAGTGTTGTTCTGTCGAGTCTTGTAACCTTTAATGTTCCCATTGATGTGCTATCCACGCACCAGAGGGGACATGGTCCTGGGAGAGGAGGGAAGAAAAACGCCGGTGCATACGTGTGTGTGAGGAGAGAGAAGGAGACGTACAGCGAGAGCTTTGAAATACCAGTGCAGAGCAGATTGCCTGCAATGTGAAGCTCACAAATGCGGGCTGGCCTGGTTTCCAACAGGCCCCTCAGGTACCAACCACCACGAGCTACACAGATGGCCTCTGGTTAATCCAACAAGGGCCGAGTGGGGACACGAGTAATCTACTAGAACATGTTACCGGTTGTTGTAACTCTATTGATTTTATGTGTACATTTAATTTGTGCCCTAGAAGTTGGTCTCAGGAACAAGGCTCAATTATTTAGCAATTTAAGACCACACAGGGATATGATTGGAAGCTTGTAGAAGTCAGACGGACAGGGTTTTATTGACCCATAACGCAAAAATACAACTCCCTGATATAGATTTATGTTTTGCAGACGAGTCAGAAAGGTGAAAAGATGATAAAATGTATTATTTATTTATTTATTTATTTATTTTGCATGTTGTGGTCTTACTGCACAAACGCCCAAAGACATGAACAAACCCGTCAGGCATCAGATAGCTATAATGACTTTCTATTGGTTTGCCATTTTGTCTTTCACAATAAATGTCTCGCATCAGTGTTCGCCAGTAGCCACCTGGCAGCTTCTGTTTTAGCAAGACATGCAATAAAACAGCTCTCAAAGACTTTTGTCGGATGGAGCAAATCTAAAGACATTGGAGACGAGTGGCAGCACCTCAAAGGTCTTCGACTGCATGCAGTCAGGGAGCTGGCGGTGCACAGGACTATACGTTCATCTTCTCTGTGGAAGTGCTCTCAGCATGAGATAGAAACAAGTGTCAATATACAACCACTTTATGAGGTCGACATCCAACATTCAGTCTGTGGGATTTTCAGTTCAAATCATACAAACACTCAAAAGGAAATCAAGAAAAAGCAGAAAAGATGCAATAAAATGATGATGTTTCAAATGCAAACGAACAGTTTTTAACAACTCTGAGTTGTTCAGTAGTGATTTCTCACACAGTACGATTTGGTCACTGGACTTCAGGGACCTGCTGGAGGTGTAGGGACTGATCACCAACGTATGATGGTGCTTGTCCATGTAAGGCTCTAAAGACCAGAACCAGGATCTTAAGAAAAAAAAGAAGCTAATTCTAAACACCACTTCATTCATATTTATACTCAGATGTTACCCCTTCTGGGAAGTCACATTTATTAGCTGAGCAGTTAAGTTTTTGATGAAATATTGATCGATATCATAGTACTGTAGAATATAGCATTCATCCCCGTGTGTGTGTGTGTGTGTGTGTGTGTGTGTGTGTGTGTGTGTGTGTGTGTGTGTGTGTGTGTGTGTGTGGATGCAGGTAAGAAGAGACATATTATGGTGAGTTGAGACAGTCTGCAGGTATCCAGCACATTTAACACCTTTCACATAGATTTTAGGAAAACATTTTTTTAAGAAAATTCTATTTTTAGGGAGAATGGTACTTCAGAAAGTTTTTGTTGATACTCAAATACACAAATAAGCTTAAAAAGATAATATGGGACAACCCAAACACACTACATGAGATAGCACCAGCCTGATTAGAGCTCACTTTTGATTAACCCTCCCCCACTGTCTTTATGGGTGACCCCACGAGGAAAGTTGACCATTGAGCAGGATTGATGGTTTATCCCTTGAGGTCCACGTGGCAGGGGTGAGGTGGTACTCACTCCTCACCCCTGCCACGTGGACCCAAGGCATAAACCATCTACCCTGCTCAATGGTCAAGTTTCCTCGCGGAGTCTCACCCATTAGGACAGTGGGAGGGTTAAAAAAACTATATAGAAATAAATTTGATCCAAATTTAGTTTGTCTTCATCTAAATGGTGTTGATGCGAAAAGACAAAACTGTGTGAGGATGTGTGGAGGGATTGACTGTTGTCTTTCTTAAGCTATATTTTTAGAACCATTAGTTACGAGCGTTTGGGCAGGAGACTAGAGCTGTAAACTATCCATCTGGTTCTCCTATCCCAGCTCTGGGCCGGAGGAAAAAAATAAACAAGGAGAAAATAAAAACAGTGAAAAAATAAAGCAGAGAAACATCCACATAGCGATAATGGTCCTCTCTTTTTTTATTGTTCAATACTTACTTGTGGTATGCATACATACACACACACACACACACACGCACACGCACACACACACACACACACACACACACACACACACACGCACGCACGCACGCACGCACGCACGCACGCACGCACGCACATACACCAAAGTGAGCGAGACAGGCTGTGGACATGTGTGAGAGAGGAAGCATCTGGGCCATTCCCATCTGTACCGGGTCGGCCCGGGCCGGGTAGCCCCAGTCGGCCCAAGTCTGGCCCGGTTGATTCCACATATCCTTGTCTTAAGCCCATGTGGGCTGATTCTACCCACCAATCAGAAGCTGGCTCTAATGGAAGGTGTGAATTTGCTGTCAGCAGTGGGTGTGTTGGCCCTGGTCGGCCTGAAGCAGACCCCCTCGAGAAGAGGGCTGAGAATGAGCCTTGGTTGGCCCGGAAAAATACCAGGCCACCCAGATATGTAAACAACCTACACTACCCGGCCCGGGCCGACCCGGTACAGATGGGAATGGCCCAATCATGTCCAGTAAGATGGACTGAGTCATTCCGTTTACTCTGCCACACGCCAACAGGGAGGAAGGAGCTGCAGGCACAGCTGCCAAAGAGCCAAAGGGACTCAATGATGTGTCAACAGACAGCGCTCACACACAGCTACTGTTATAGTTATGTCTCCCAGACCATTTTCACACATTGTTGACTGAACGTGTCCACTAAATATGAACTTTTTTTTTTTACTTCAATGAGCCTTTAAAAAAAAGGGCAAGTTTGGCTTAAAATTAGCATTTCTGTTAACTACAGCTCCAGCAAAGTTAGAGAGAAAACAATGTAGAGTTCTTAATCATTTCAAGAATGTTTTTACTTTAAACTTTCATTGATCAAGAAAACACTTTTAGCTGTACACTCTAAAAAAACATTCATACTAGAATTCAGGAGTCTAGTAACAAGCAGCAAAATCACTGCTGTGGATTTGTGATCTGTCTGGTCCATCAGTTGCAGGCCTGTTGTGGAGGAGGAGGATAGCGCCAAAGCTAACACTCCAAAACTTCACCCGCTAGCTTTCAGCTCTGCTGGAGCTGCAGTCAACAGCAACATTGTGGAAGAAATCTCACATAGAGTGGAAGATTTATAGCAGGCTAGAAGAAATAACTTTCATGTTCAATGAGTCAAAAGTGTGGAAGACGTACTCCAGAAGTTACTCACTAACGGTCTGGTGGAGCAAATGCATCCCTGTTTTTAAAAAGTGATTTAAAAGGAAATATTCATTCTTTTTCTAATCAGGAGAGGAACAAGTCCACAAGTTAGTTAAAAACTTACATTTTGCTTCCCTGATGCTCACTAAACATCCGCCTGGGGCAGCTGAGTGGGATTCCAATGAGAATTTAGGCTCAAATCAGAATAAATCTGGCCTAAAAAGTTAAGTGTTGATAAAAATCTAAACTTAGTTTACATTTATTTTCAAAATTATCTGAAGTTGATAAAATAATCAAGTTTAACGATAAATAATACTTCTATGCCAGTCCAACACAACAAAGCTCTGTCACAGCTAAAACATGACGTTTTCTATCATAATCAGATGAAGTCAAATGTAAACAAAACTTTTTTTTTTACTAATAATAAAATCAGAACACTGAGCTCCCTTAGTATTTACTTTTTCTGTACTTTTTAAAATATATGTGACTTAAAAATAATACAGACCCATAACAAACATTGGAATTAAGTTGAGACCAATGTTACATTTGAATATTGTTATATTTATCTATTTCTTCTTTAGTGATTAAAGTTCAGGACAGAGCAAAGTTTATGTTCTATCTGAATATTTCTAATCAGCATGAAATCTTGCTCACTCTTAAATGGGCACATTGTAGATCCATTATTGATTAGATACATTTTTCTCAGCTATGACATGTTTACAATAATCAACAAAATACTAATGTTACTAATAATACAATTAGTACATCCCATTGATTTTATTGACCCCTCATGTCACAGGTGCACTGATCTTAATTGAAGAAAAAAAACACTAAACTATTAAAAAACTATCATTTTATCTTAAAAATATAGAAATTTGTTAAGAAAAAGGAAATTGTTAGTGTTGCATGCACGTCGATTACTTCTATATTATCAGATGTTGGGTGGCCATCCAGCTGCACAGAATGCAGCAGCTGGCAGAGGAAGCAACAGGAGACAGCACTGCCAACAGGAAGTCTCTTTTTAATCTTGCCACCAACCTGCAGCTCAAACATTTCTTGTCCCCTAGTACCTGTTGATATTTTACCTCCACCAAGGGAAGGAGAATCTGGCATAGTGCTAAGTCTATAATCCTTGTATATAAGGTAGCAGTTATTCTTGGAGTAAAGTCAAGCTAGTAAAACTAAATTCAATGGCTTTTGCAGCTTTAAATGTCACAGTGGAAAATCCATTGTGAAAAATTAATTAAAACTTTCAGGCCCCCAGACTGTTTGAGGAATTCCCCGGGTTCCATAAAGCCAGTGCCTAAAGCTCCCCTGTTCATTTGAGGCTGGAGATGAGGTCTACCTTCTGGGAGAAGAAGTGGCTGCAGCGGAAGAAATGTCAAACAGATAAGAGAAGTGACAAGTAGAAAGTGGTTTTAGTTTTTCTTTCCTTTCTTAGAGCCACCCAACGTCAAAGCGATGGCGCTGGCTGCTGATAAAAATCAAAGAGCAGGCACAGGAAGCTGCACTGCCTGAAGAGTCTGAACTCTGCAAAGCTCGTGTTAAAGATGCAGTACACACTGCGTGCAGAACAGATGACTGGATCATACCTGCAGGTCACGTTCTGAATTTCACGCAACACATCTCAGCGTGAGGAGGCAGAACTGAGGGGGAGGGTCACCACAGTCTAGCAAACAAGCACGTATCTTATGTCTTCAGGTCTGTTGTGTATGGGAGTTTTATTTTTACAGCTGAAATAAATATATAAAGCAATCATGAAGTTCTTACCTGAAATGGTCCACTGGGGCTGATGTCAAAGGCTGCCTTCTTCCAGTCTGTGTCCTGATGACCGGACTTTGTCCACACCACTGAGTCCACAGGGGGAGTGCTACTCACTCGCAGGAGTACATTGAGCGTGCCTGTTCAAAAAAAAAGAAAGAAAAGGAAAATGCACATGTTCACACATCCTGAACCACAAACACAGAACATTAGAAACACTCCGTATCTCAGTGACAGCACCAGGCAACTAGGTTATCTCCAAAAAGCTCAGGAACTAAACGTAAAATGACAGGATGTGATAGAATATTTCAATTATACATATATTTTTTTCTTTTTTATGCAAAAAGTAAACATGATTGTGGAAATTCTATCAGCAGATTCGCTATTTTTCTTAAACTCGGCACAGCAAATGGATTCCAAACTGATACGACCATGATCCAAGAGATAAAATGAAACCAAACCACCTGGTGAGAGGAGGTGGGTGTGGGGGGGGGGGGGGGGGGGGGGGTCCAAGCAAGAGGAAACCATCGCACAAGCATTTGTTGAATGTGTTAATTATCTTTTTTTTCTCTTTAGCATTTAAACAAAACACACATCACTGTCATGTGAGGTGAAGGTTGAAGAGAGAGGCTGTGTGAGCCATGACAGGGAGTTCTAATAGGCTCCCTCGCCTTCGTCCCACTCAGCCCTCTAAGACGTGAGAGAAACATTCATCTTCTTAACGATCTCCAGCCAGCTCCTAATTGGACCATTAACCAACCACCAACCTCTTAAACAAATACACAAGTGGGGGGAGCCATGCACTGTTTACTGTATTAATGAATGAGTAAGTGGATGCAGTACTCAGACATATGCTTGCATACATGGACGTAATTTTCACTTTAGAAGTGGGGGGGACACGGGGGGGGGGGGGGGTCTTTACAGTATGCTCTAATGGGAAACGGGCTTCAACACAAACGGTTGTTTTCCCTCTTGGTCCTAGAGCTCAACCAGTGTCATTTTAATATAGCGTAATATTGTTTTTGGATGGTAAAAAGTGCAGGGGTCAAAACTTGACTTTGGAAAAAGTGGGGGGGACATGTCCCCCCTGTCCCCCCCAAAATTACGTCCATGCTTGCATATGTGAATAATCATTCCATAGTATGTGTGTTTTGATTATCAGCTAAACGTTAAAATGTACAAGGCTTATAGGATAAAGTTGTTAAACTGGAACTAATCTATGGTTAAGGGAAATAAATTCTTCACCCTCTCTTCAACAAACAATGTGTGAAAATGTCATAATGTAAAACTAAGCTTTTGTCCTGAGTGGAAACAAATGTTTATGAGAACAATTATATATATATATATATATATATATATATATATATATATATATATATATATATATATATATATATATATATATATATATATATATTTGATCAAAACACACATACACACACACTTATTTTTTTTGGGGGGGGGGGGGGTGATGTTAGATTTAGATTGCTAGGTCAGCTGTGTGAAAAATTTAAACCATATGCTGTTTCGCCTCTGCGGATGCTCCCTCAGTCCTTTATTCCAGGGTACGTTGAACATAACAATGCCTATTTGGACCAGGAGGTAAATCAATGATACCTACAGTTTGAAGATCCAGTTAAGTGGATGTAATTTGCAGCTAAATCAGAGAAATAGTGCAAGACTCCCTTGATGTTTATGTAATAGAAACACTAACTCTTTTACACTTCAAACTATTGATTTCAAACTGGTTTCAGTGATTCTTTAGCAAGAAACTGGAGCAGTTTCACATGGGGCAGCATTCTACGGCCTTCTTCTGGCCCAGAACTGCACTAAACAACTTTGGTGGTTCAGGTAGACACTAGTGAGGGGTCACTACCTACTTTAGGGCTTTACTGTGCCAGTAGCTCAGATAAAGGCTATCAGTTAGCTTTTTCAGTTCTCCAAATGTCAATAAAAAGTGCAAGAGACAGAATAAGTTTGCTTTTTTTGTCTGCATCATGGTGAAGCCTGGAAGTAAAAGGAAGAGAGCAATTGTCACGCTGCAAGCACAGGAGGACTGGACCCAAAACGCAGAACACCACAACCCAAGGCTGGAGAGGTTGTTTAAAATAAAAGTCATTTTATTAGGAAAACCAAGACTGTAGGACTCTAAGCAAAGAATAGCTAAAGTTCTATAGACAAAAAACCAAAAGCTCACTCATGAGCCAGGAACTATAAATCTGTAGAGGACAAAGCAACGCTGACATAAGACAATGGACCGACAAACACAGGGTTTTCAAACACAGAGGGAGGTAATCAGGGCAACAGGGGACAGGTGTGAGGAGTGAGATCTGGAGGGAAGACAGGTGCCATCAATAACCTAAATGGGGGGAAAGAACTGAGCAGGAGAGAAGATAAACATTAACCTATAAAACACTGAATAACTAAACCTGAACACTAAGGGCAAATATAAACAACTACCGTAAATCCTCTAATACAGGCCCGGGCCTGTATTTGACTCAAGCTCATCAAGCTCCAGGCATTTATTGGAAGGAGGGCCAGTATTAGATGCAGGCCTCTATTTCTAATTGAGCAAAATGAACTAATGGTTCGCTGGAGTTTTTGACAATTAAAATTGCGCCCACATTTTCAAAGTTAAACACATTTCTTTTAACAACGGTAGTTTCTGCTTCAGCCATCTCCCCCCTCCCCCTGCTTCAGCCCTCTTCCCCCTCCCCCTGCTTCAGCCCTCTCCCCCCTCCCCCTGCTTCAGCCCTCTTCCCCCTCCCCCTGCTTCAGCCCTCTCCCCCCTCCCCCTGCTTCAGCCCTCTCCCCCCTCCCCCTGCTTCAGCCCTCTTCCCCCTCCCCCTTCTTCAGCCCTCTCCCCCTGCTTCAGCCCTCTCCCCCCTCCCCCTGCTTCAGCCCTCTTCCCCCTCCCCCTGCGCAGCAGCCGCAAACTCACTGATGTGCCTGCAGCCTCTCGGAGTTCCTGCTGCTCTAAACATTAAAATAATTATTTCATTTTCTGTTCCTCACTTCTGATTACCTTCAATGTTGTCTGTTTGTTGCAACCAGCAGGTACAAAAACTAACTTGTTTTTATTTGACTATTTTTCTGTCCTGTCTGTTTATTATCTTCCTGCATCTCCTCTCAATCCTAAAGAAAAACTGCTACCTGGGTTCATATATATTCACCTCATGAGTTACCTTTGAACTGCAGTTCTAAAAGATCTACCGACCGCAAAAACAGCGGAGTGCTCGCTGCTTGACGGCCGTATCAGTGATCAGTGCGTCAGAGGACAAGGTGATGCGCGCAGCGCCCCGCTCCACAGCATGCAGCGAAACGCATCAGGCGCAAATAACAGACAGAAAACATTAAAGGAACAAAACTGACATGAACGATCGCGTGTTAAATTAGTTTTTGAGGTGGCGACACCTGATTGTTACTGTGGCCGTGCTCAGGAGGCAGATCTACCGACCGCGAAAACAGCGGAGCCCTCCCTGCTTGCCGGCCGCATCAGTGATCTGTGCGTCGGAGGACAAGTTGATGCGCCCTGCTCCACAGCAGCGATACACATCAGGCGCAAATAAAAGACAGAAAACATTAAAGGAAATGAACCGACATGAACGATCGCGTGTCAGTACCTACGGTCTGGCACAGCGCGTTGCCCCCCCCCCCCCCCCCCCCCACCCCCCCCCCCCCCCCCCGAGCGCAGGAACTTGTCACCTGCTGATAGCAGGCTGCTGTCTTTTCCGAGGGCCGCATCTTGCCGGTCATTATCACGCGACAGCGACTAGTCGACGACAGGCATAAAAAGTCACTACAGTAATCCCTCATTTATCGCGGTAGATGCGTTCCAGACCTGGCCGCGATAGGTGAAAATCCGCGAAGTAGGGACTCCCAGCATGCCCCTCACGGGGATTCCCTCCACGTTGCACCTACGTCACAAACCGCGGCTATAAACGGAAGTCGCCTTTCCAGCTCACCACTCAGTCATCGTTTCTTCAGATTCATGATCAGAGTTTCCAACCTACCGATCAATCCAACGAACTATCAGCTCATAGTAAGTTATCTTACTTACTTCTGGAAAGCCCGGCATTTCCGTGTCACTTCGTTGACGCTCGAACGCTCGGGGGTTTCCTAGATCAGCCGGCGTTTCACCGACGCTATCACTTCCGCGTCTGTGAAACCACGCTCCCTATTGAATTATCGTATGATCACATTCTCTTTTTGTGGGTAAAACTCAAGAAAAAAATTTTTTTTACTTGTTTTTTTTAGTTTTATTACAAAAAGGGCAGTTTATGATGAAATTGATGAAAAAAACAAGAATTTCTTGATATTTCGCATAGAAAAATACCGCGAATCAGTGAAAAATACCGCGAATCTGCAAATTCTCCCTGAAAAATGCTCCAAAGAAAAAATCCGCGAAGCAGCGAATCCGCGATGAACGAACCGCGAAGTAGCAGAGGGATTACTGTATAGTGAAGTTGGCTAGTTCATACACCCCCTACTGCTGCTCTCCAGAGTGTTCTGCAGCATAGTCAGCACGTTCTCTTTGAACTTGATAGTGTAATGACCTGGCTGGGGTTGTAAGCCAGGTGCATGCTGGGTATTGTGTTATATGTGTTTCCTATCGTTCTGCTAGTTCCTATGTGCTGATTCGCGTGTTGTGTGAGTGTTATGTAAGCCACAGGGAAGGTGATGTGTGTTCTGTGGAGGGGTTGAATTAGCATGGTTAACTGACACCGTGACTCTGTGTGGTAGGAGCGTGATAGAGGATTGCGTCTGTAGCGTTACACAGCGTTGAAGAAAAAGCCCAACAAAGGTCTGCGTGAACCTCTACTGCCTCCTGCTGGTTGATTTGAGGTCTATAACCCTGCCGCATACTTGCTTGTTACCACATTCCACCCGGCCACAATAAGAGACCGTAAGGCCATTATTTACCTCCGTCGACTCCGGCACCGGCCAAAATTGGAGTCCCGGCCTTTAATTGAATACTGGCCTGTATTAGAGGATTTACGGTAATAACTAGAGGAGGACTATTACAAAACCAAATGGGAACCACCAGGGAGTTACTAGGGGGAAACATGAGAAAAACCTAGAGAGAGCTGGGGGTCATAATGGCTGTGTCTCAATTCAGGGTCTGCATCCTACGTCGGCC